TTTATTGTCTTAATTGACCAAGTAAGTCGATACATAACTAGCACACATGTATATATTAAGGCAATTAAATGACATATAAAATAGTTTATAATTTGATGTTGTGTGTTGTATTTTGTCCGAATCAACTTAAAATTAGAAATAAAACAAATACAACTATTTTGCCATTTATAAAAAAGTGTTTTCATTGAAAAATGTATTTGCCTAACAGACCTTGACCCTTTCTTTGAGTTACCTTTTTACTGAGTCGTTTAAGCTAATTAGCACGTGCTACAATATTCATAAGTTTAATCATAATATAAAATGTCATGAAGTATTCCATTTGTATCTACAGAAAAAAGGAGTTAACGAATGATCTGAAATTTTGCCCTCAAGTTATTTGTCTACATCAAATCAAGTCGATGTAAATAATTTGCCGAAGTATTGTTTTTTTTTTATTTAAATTTATGTTTATATAATACAAAACGACCATAAGATTTTTAATTCTATATGTTAATAATAACTATAAGACGTTTGTAAATGATGAATTAAAATGTCTTAAAATATTGAATTCTGAATAAAGTATATACTGGAACTGGTTGAGAATTCGTGTAATAAACATAAAGAACTTAAGCAAAGCTTTTCTCAATCTGAACATCTGCGTTGACGATTCTTATTGTAAGGTTACAATTTGTAAATTTAAAAAGTGTTGATGTAGATGCCTGAAATAGGTCACTGGAGAAAGTAGGTTTCTGGATAAATAATGTAAAGACTGTGAGCTATTATTCTTTCAATCCTCAGGGTAAAAAGTGATGATCCGTTAATGGTACTGATAGGTGTCTGAAATACCTAGTATCAAAAATACTTAAGGACTTTTCGGGGACCTTTACATATTTTACCATTAATTAATATCCAAAACATTTTAATCGAATTTTGTAGTGCTATTCTAGGAAATGTATTCAGTGTCAAAATAATGTGGGGTTTATTTTTTTATAATTTTTTTTGTAATGCTCAAATGAGTATTGCTTAGAATTGAAATGCCATTTATTCTGTGTAGTAGGCAGTAGATTTAATACCTTTTTGTCTATTATTGCCTAAATACCTATTATTGTGCACAATTTTATCATTCCAACATATCTTAAGGAAAGCACCATGATTGATGCATTTGCCCGTATGGCATTAACGTTTTATACAGGCATAACCTAATTGTGAAACATGTACTAATTTTGTCGTGTATTATGCACATTTAATAGTTTTACGGAGGTAATTTTGTCTTTTCAAGAGATCCGAAACCAATGTATTATTTTTTACCTTGAATTAAATAACGATAACAATGTTATTTGTCATTATTTCGGTCTCACAAATCATCGTCATCACTTCAAAAATATTACAATTGATAACTAAGAACGCAAATTATAAAATACATATTTATGCTTAATTTGTGTAGTTTGAAAAAGGCAAGTATCTAACTTTCATGTTTCATTATTCTTAACATAATTTTGTGTTAAATATATAATGTGACACGTACTGTTGAATAAATTTCATCGAATTTTCTCTTTTGTCAATTCCACGGTAATTGACAGAACAAGCCAACTTTAACCTTTAGAAATATTGATAATGCAATACATTCGGGGGTAATAGGTTTTAATATGCTTTAGTTTAAATGAATATTTCAAAATAGTAAATGTTTTTTTCTTAAAAGACTTAAACACATTTTACGGGAATTTTTTGTGTATTTATCATTTTAATTATTAAAAACCTTTGTCAATTAATATCACAAATTCTACCCTTGACAAGATCTTGCATTTGATAATTTTAGGAAGCATACTCAAGATTGATTCAACTAAAGGATTCAATGACTCAACAAAAAGCTTCAAGATTTCATAACGACTTTGCTATTTTATACAATGTTCTTACATGCGTTAAGAGAAACGGGCTATCAAAATTAACGCCTCGATATATCTTTAAAAGTTTCGAAAGTACGTGAGAGCAATGGCCTACCACAGGATTTATTGTTACAATTTTAATGCAGAATGTAATTCAGTCACATGATTAAAATTCAAATTAACTGATGTAAAACGAGATTTAATAACTATAACGAAATTCTGTCAATAGACACTGTTAAACTAATAGATTTAAAAATAGAATATAGAACAAATGATTTAGTACTACTTTTAAATACAGCTTCTAACATTGTTACAAACTGGCGAAACAAAATATCCTTTATTGAAGCTAGTGCCAATTCTTTAACGTTTACAAACCGAAATTTGCATAATCCTATCGTAAGTACTAAACGTATATGTTCAGGTCTGTACGAAATGTAAAAAATATCAGTCAATTGTGCAATTACCATCTGAATTGGCCATCAATAGTTCTCTCAAAAAATTGTATTGCTAAAATGAGGCACTTGTTAAGAAAATTGAAAATAACCTTTCTTATCAAATTATTTACTTGACTAAGTTCATCTGCAATCACTATAGTAAGGTTATTCTATTTGCTTAAGTCTGATTGATTTTCACGCTAAATCAGGATTGCTGTATTCATGCACTATGTCCAACTTTAGTCTGCAGGATTCGTTTGTTTGTATTATAAGATTAATATGTATTTAATTCTGCATGTTAACTTGTTTTGGCAATTTTTTCTAGAATTACGGTTTTGATCAAATGGAATACTGTGCTAATTATAACACTTACTAAATATTTTTCTAACAAACTTTTTTATTTGAAGTTCTCATCAATATAGAGTATTGTTCAGACAATAGTAAAGATTTTGCCGTTTCATCTCGGGTAAATTATATAAAAGTATCATCAAAATCTGCAAGTTGTTATTTCAAAGTAAGATAGAAAAAAAAGTTAAAGACACATTATGCCTTTGAAACTAATTATCGTTTTCTTCGGTAGTGTTGAAATAATAATTTTACAGCATGTCAGTGCTAACCCCTTGTTATGTGTAATGATCCTATGTTTTAAATTTATTTGTCATAAAAGAAGCAAGTTGTCAACAAAGTAGTATTTTATAGTTTTACTAAAATTAAAAAAGAAAGGAATCAAAAACGGAATAAAAAGCCTTTGTTTTCATTGATCATATATATAGGTTTGCTATTATAATTGGACTTTTACCAAAAGCAATTTAAGGCAAACAATGGTCAGTTAATTGGCCAATGAGAAACGTTTTGAAAACTATTACAGGACACCAAAAACAAAAAGGTTTTGAGAAATTTGTTATATATCTTTGTAGACCAATATTATTTTACAAAATCAATACTGGTTGTACAATTGTTGTAATCAGCATTCCTGACAGATTGTGAAATCTTATCTTTTGACAAATAAATTTCATTGCCCAAAGTTGTTAACCTTCTGCAAAAACTGATATTGTATATATATATTCGCTGCCAGAAAAAACTACAGACGCTTTCAATTAATATACTGAATTAAAATCATTAGATTTTTCCGATAGCATTGGAGGAAATAAAAATATAAAATATAAGTTGAATCTTTATTTAAACGACTTTGTTGCATTTAAGTTCCGTTTTTAAATTAGACTTTGATTTTTTATTATGATAACGATGGCCATTTTAAATTACCATTTTTTTAAAGCAAATTTAACATTGTTGATGTTTATTTACGCGACAAATGGATTCTTTCATACAGATATTATCATTACTCTTGATAATGTGAATTATCAGTTGTGTTCTCAAGTGTTAACTTAAAGTAAAACTTTTCAATTTTGATACGGTTAGCTGATTCGTTCATCGTCAAATGAAGGTAACATCACTAAGACGGAAAATTATTTCAATTAAACTAATCAAAATCATCAGTTACAGACCATTTTAACATATCTGTTTAGTTACACAAAATTGGTCTGAAGAGTATATATATCCTTAACTCATGTGTCATGGTCCAAAGTATCTGGGATCATTTCGTTTCAATATTCCCTGAGATTCGTAAATGCAATACAAGACGTCCTATTCCTGTTTCAGCTATATGTTTTTAATATAAAAGAAGGACAACTAGGATAATTCTCTAACAAATAAGTAAATGTGCGGTGCTTAAATGTCCTTTATGCATCAGACTGGCTATCTTTTTTCCTTAAAAGCTTTTAATATTGGAATCTTGTTAACATTCATATAAAAAACTCATTTGTCATATAGATGAACTATCTTTGCTTTATTTGCTCTGTTGGCAATAGCTATAATAATAGGGAACATGGTTTAATGGACAAATACAAAATTATAATACTTTGTTTCCTTTTTGCTACCTTTACGACACATTACTACACATTCAGCGCTTATTACCTCTGTCACCTGTTAAGCATCTAAAATGCCCTGAATAAATTATTAAAAAATCATTTAACACATATTTGACATTGAATGAATAAATTAAAATTTGATAAATATGGATTTTTAGGCATAGTGTGCCTCTAATATAAAAGTATGTCGATGCCATCTATTGTTGACATTCAAGCTTTTATTTCAGTTGATAAGATGCTCATCGATTTTGAACTATTGGTTTGTTTCACGACAGAATAACAAAAACTACTGTGTTTATGTCTAGACAAGTTTGGTAGTATTGTAAGAGAAAATGAAAAATGTTCTTCTCAGTGTAAACCCTGTCAGCAATAAAAAATAATCACATGCGACTAGACTCTTTCCTTGTCTTGTTTTGTATCAGGAAAGCAAACAAACCTATTCAGATGAAATCCATTTTCTTTTGAAATTTGAAGAAAGGAAACAAACCAAAACTAGACAAATATGTTTAAACGGTTGCTTAAAATAAAGTAAAGTAAAGTAATTGCATTTTATAGTCTAAGTTTCATGCTAACGCAAGTTCACCGACTTTACAGCTATTACCCCTGGTCATCGGGCTACTGGTATCTATCTATCAATCTCCCTGTGGAGTCTTCTAACTCCGCTTAGTGCAGCAAATTTTGGCGCAACGGAATTATACCACCCTTGCAGGTACCCATTTACACCTGGGTGAAGTGAAGCAATCGCAGGTAAATTTCTTGCTCAAGGAAATTAGCAGTGCCCCTGGTGGGGTTCGAACCCAGGACCTCTCGATCCCTAAGCGAGCGTCCTTCCACTGGACTACTGATGCTACTTTTAATAATATATATTGTGCTTTTTTATAGAAGATGTTTTGATATGAAAACAAAAGCATTGGAAACGAATACAAAAAAGATTTTCATACACCTTGATTCGTAATCAAAGTGTTGTTACATGTACGAGAGACGATAACGAAATACGAGGGATGATTAAAAATAAACCGGACTGTGACTGTCAATTCAAGAATTTTCAAACTATCACATATTGTTATATATCACACTTAATCGGAAAACAATACATGTAAACTGATGCTTTTTCTAATCTGATAACGCAAAAAGCTTGTCCGTAACAGCGAATTCAAAAACCATGGTAACGTACACCCGTCGCAGTACGTAAATTCGCCTTGACATCAGGCGCTTTAAGCTGCGTATATTTTACAATATGGCACATTTAGATTTCAAAAATACGCAAAAATCGTCATGAACTATATCTTTGACGTTGTAAGTAAAAATGACTTAATTTAAACGATATTTTTATTTGCAATCACAATTCCAACGTCACATGTTAATGAAATACTCCCGTTAAAACCATGTCGTCGGAATGTCTCGAAAATCGATCCATAAAAAAATTGTCAAAAGTTAGACAAGAAACTGTTTAAAACGTAGAAAAAGACTATGGCTATCAAGGGAAAAGTTCCAGAAAGCCACAGCATATTTTATATTAGCAGAAAGAATTAAGAAAGGGGAATAGAGAAATAGAAAACAAGTAAGGGAGAGACAGAAAAAATAAATTTTCAAGGACGTTGGTGACGTCAATCGCCAATACGTTGAAAAATGACAGTCGATTGACTGCGGACATTGTCAACGATGTTCGACAGTAGCTACGGGACGATGCAGTCAACTCTAAGGATTTTAAAATGATAATAGTTAATGCATTAATTACATATATTGTATTCTTGGTTTACAATTGTTTCAATTATTTTCCTATTTTAAGCAGTAGTTTTATGGATAAATTGTGTCAACAATTAGACAGTCACTGTTCAAAATCGGCAATGCGTTTCATTTATTTTAAAATAATGACAATTTTGGTCATATTTGTATTATTCTTTTATTTTATCTTATGTATGATACATTATCATTCAGCAACATTATTTTACATTATTTGTAATACATAATATAGTTAATTGCATGTGCGATTTTTCCAACAATCAAGTTACAGAAGGAAAGAACGGAAGTTTGCGTCATTACAGGAGCTTTTTTTATCATCATCCATTCTTTTACAATACAATATAATACCCACTTGTATAGAAATATATATATAGGCAGTGGATCCGCTGCATCACAACATGACTGTACCATGTATTGGCCTACTCCGTAATGAGTAAAAAGTTGATCCGTTAAGGAAAATACGCCTGTGACGTCGTTAACGTCAATTTCAAAGTTATACCGTGCGCCGCATTGCTTTACATGTACATGCCAATAACGTCATAACTTTTTTCTTTGTTAATATTTCTTGTTGGTATTTTTTGTATCATTCAGGGGATAGATTCCGATTTATTGTCCGTGTATTTTTATGTAAATTCATTTAACAGGTAAATAATCATTTACAAAGTCCGGTTAATTTTTGATCATCCCTCGTACTCTTAATATGGCAATAACAATTATGAAACAGCAATAGTAATAGTTCTATCTAACCAATACATAACGATTAAATAGTAGTCACGTTTATCATTTCATTTATCGGCCGACCATATTTTTCCAAATGGCATTTCAATGACATTTTGATTAATTGTTACTTTAGCTTACGGTTCTATAATTAAAAGCTATCGATATTCATTTGTTTGTTTTATATATTAACAAGTAACTGTATCCACATTTATTTTTTGTGTGACAAATCATGTATTTTTGGTTGACTATCACGAAAACGGAAAAATGAAACGATTAATTAATTATTAAACTTTAATTGATTTATATTATTTTCGTCACCCGGTTTGATATTTTCTACAAGATTAGTTAACACTTCAAATAGAAGGGAGATCATTTGTGTTCATTTCCTCTTGCATAATTTTAATTTTATGTGAGCGTTCTATAAATGTATTGTACTAATATTGATCAATATTTCCTGAAAATAAATATATTTAATTTAGCTATAAAACAGATTGTATAAACAATTATTAAATCAACAACCTCAAACAAGAACCTTTTGACTACTGGCGTACAGTTCATTTTTTCAGACACATTGGAACAACTTATATGAGATTTTTCAGATCTGTCTATAAGCTAGTCTCTGTTGTACTATTTATTTTGGATAGTATTGTTCCCGTAAAAAAATCAGGTTTAATCACTAAACAAGATAACGTTAAATAAATCACAAAAAAAGGTAAGACCAAAAATAATGACAATTGCAAAATCGCGTTAATTTACATATTTACAATTATATATTGATTAGAAAACTGTTACCCTTTGATATTCTCTCAGTGTCTTGTCTGGAACTGGAAATTATGATAACACATATGTATAATATGACAACAGTACACAGCTCCTCCAAAACAAACACAAATATAACAATTTTATAAAAGACGATTAAGTAAAATATTATTTATGTTTTAAAATGTTTTTACTGTAAACTTAAAGTATTAAGTGATGATGACATTGATAATTTTGAGCAATAACATTGATGAATCATTTTTCTTTTTATGTTTCTAACGTTTTCTTACTAGACTCAACAAATAAATTAAATAAAGATAGAGGAACAAATCTTGGATAGTAACATGACAGTATCCATATGGTTCCAAATATAGTGAATGTGTGTTGCCATATTTCAAATTTTGTCAAGCTTACTTATAATTTCAATATAATTTATATTTTAAAACTAATCTAATTTCAATACTTATGATGCACATAATTCCTTCCAGAAAATATAGGCTTTGTCAGAAGTAATTTGGATTTATTGTAAAATGAGTCTGTAAAACATCTTTCAGGATGTTGACATTACTATTATGCATAATAAGTATATTTCAAAGTAACAAACTATGTGTTTTGAATTATTTTTCATTTTCAAATGGCATTCACTTAATATTCCATATGAGTACAAAGGCCGAATTTCAAATACACTTTTATAAAATAATGAAGATCATTATACATGTTTATGATATCAGAACAATCATAGGCATTGTTTTCATTAATACATGGCTGAAAATGCTTCAGTGCATACTTTGAATGAATCAATATGTATTCATTAATTTTTACTATTGTGATATATATCACAGGAACTCAAAGCATTTGTCATTTTGATAACCATGTTATTCGTGTATAGAAAGGTGCTCTGTCAACATAACAGTCAAAATGAAATAATAATAAATCGTTCGTAAGGAAGTATTCATTATGTGCATCATAAGTATTGAAATTAGATTAGTTTTAACATATAAATTATATTGAAATTATAAGTAAGCTTGACAATTTGAAATATGGCAACACACATTCACTATATTTGGAACCATATGGATACTGTCATCTTACTATCCAAGATTTGTTCCTCTATCTTTATTTAATTTATTTGTTGAGTCTAGTAAGAAAACGTTAGACTTCAGAGATTGTGTGCTTCTGCAAAAAGGGTGAAACGAATTCCTCTCGGTATTTTAATGTTCAAACGGATAACTGTCATTCAAGTGAACATGTTCTAATGAAAGAATATTTAAATTTAGTTGAATTTTATTACTTTAAATTAACAAATTTGCATATTGCTTTAAATGCAGCTGTTCATGTCACAATTAACCCATAACAACAAGCTCTTGATTCATTAAATATTCTTATTGTCGTTGCAAAGTTGAAAACACAACAAGAAATACACTGTTCTCCTTTTATTCATTTCCAAATAGCCATGTTCTTAGATTATCTTTGTTCAATTTTTTATTGTATGTGTACGTGTATATGATACATTAATCATACCTTATTGGCGATATTGCAAACAAAAGATTTATATCTCTTTATGTACTGTTAATCGCTCATAGTAAATGGTTTACGTACTAGGATTGAAACAATTGTAAAAGAAAGGCGTGTTTCAAAGGTGTTTGTAAATACAGCAAATCTTGTAAGCAATGCATGTTTATCTCAAGAAGAGCAGGAAGTGAGTGAGCGCAGCATGTAAAGACACTAAATGATAAACAGTTCATATGGTACAAGTAAAGGAACATTTTCCCGTTGTCCTCATTTGCTTCAGATCCTGTCTTAGCATACTTTTACAATTACTTTCTGTTGGAAGTTTTTGTTCATTACCCTATGACCCATTTAAGTTTCATCGTCAATGTTGTTTAAAACAAATGGACAATAGATACTGCTTTATATTTACTTTCATGTTTGAATACCGCATTTTTTGCGAATGAAAATCATCACATCGAACAGTCATATTTTATTGTCAAAATAAGAGAGTTTACAAGACAATAAAAAATTGGTGGAAATGCTTGGTATGTTAAAATCAAGATAATTTGTAATAAAAAGAAGACGAAAAGGAAAGTAAATCATTCACCACTGATTTAATAAATACCGGTAAACGTGTAACGGTAAACAATATGTCCTTACATTGTACAGTTTTGTATGTTTCGATAATAGCAATATAATTGTATAATTTGTAACTATGTACACGTCAATATTGAAGATCATCATAAGGTGATATACAAAAAAAACAAAACATTTAAAACAAAATGACCGCATTGAGTGAAAATTACACTAACGTCTTTCCAGTGTCTTCAAAACTATTTCGATTAAGACATACTTTACTCTTTTAATACTAAGGAATGGATTTTCTGACCATGGATGAAACATAACACTGCAACTATGTGATTTTATATTTCAAAAGAAAATACGACACAAACACACATATATAACATCTTAAGTTTCATGTCCATTATAATTCAAGAGAAATTCTTATTTGCAAAAGACGTAAAAAGTTTAAAATCATTATTTTACAGAAATACTTTGCTTTAACTTACAAGAAAAAACAATGCTGATGAAACGATGTACTGCCAATGCCTTTAATATACAACATATTGGTTTA